GGTTAACTCACAATGTGAGACAATATTATGCGCATCAAACAATCTTTTTTCCAACTGACTTCAAACAAAAAATTTAACAATTTTGTCAACATTGAAAGATATGAAATATTAATGAGAATCTTAATAGCTTGCCCACAACACACGATTTTTTTCTAATTGACTTAAGACAGGAAATTAAACAAATGTGTCAACAGCCTGAGATGAGTCGACATCATAAGCAAACAGATAGTGCCAGACACAGTGCACGACCCTCGCTTTTCTAGATGTTCAAATTAGGTATGGCTTCTAACAGCAGAGGGGTCACATAGACAAATGCATACCATCAGGATAACAACGAAAAAAACACTAAAATTTCTGAATTTTCATACTTTCGGGGGGTTGCTGCATGTGTTCTTCCTATGCCCGGTCAAACCACATTTTGAGCAGCGAGGAGATTTCCGGGGCGCCTTTGGCACATCACCCCTTGCAGGGCATGTCGTGCTCTTGTGCCCCTGAAGTCTGCATATTGAACAAAACCTAGTCCTCTTTGATGGTTGTTCATATGGAGCCTTGTCACGGCTGGTTGTAGGGCGCCCAGCCGGCCGCTTCTTTGATGCAGCTGGGAACACATCCGATCCCTGTGAAATGGTGTGCTCAGACTCAGGTCGACCAAAGTGCTGCTTGTTACCAACGCCGGAACCCGCTGAATCTGCGGCCAGCTCCTTATCAAACAACCCAAGTCCATCCCTCACAGCAGCAACTGGCTCCAGCTGCACTTTGACATGTCGCAGTTTTTCCTCAGCAAGAGCATATGCTTCCACATTGCTGTCACCTAACTTAACAACATCCAGCGCCAAGAGGTATAAAGTGTTGTGTCGGCGAGAGGAATACTTGAGCGGCCCATGATCCTTTTGGTAGCGCAAATACTCTGGCGGCAGTATATCTGTCGCGTCTTTTGTCCATCGCTTCAGCACATGCTTCACAGGGAGCTCACGCAGTTTTAGGTGTATCATCACCTAAAAACCAGCATCCATGAAAAATAGAGTCATTATTCCGGTGCTTTTAAAACTATCTATAGCAAATGTAGGGAGCTTGTCGCGATTTTTAGAAAAAAATATTGCAATTAAGGAAGAGGATGTGCGATAACTCACCTTAAGTGCATGGCTGCACACCATTCCATAGTGCTCAGACGTCCCACACTCACACTTGAACTCGTCGGCTGCCTCGCTCACAGTGATCACAAACTCGTTCTTGCACCATTTTTCCTTTGACTGAAATTTGATGTGCCTAGCAATGTACTCCAAGCGTGGCTTGACTTCTATTAGGTCATAAGATCCACATCCATACAACACTTCACCAAATTTCTCAAACATTGTCCTGATGTACACCTCCGACGCATGTACCTCAATTGGGATATTTTGCTTCAGGACAACCCCACCCTGCAAATGATGATCATATAACAAAAGATTTTTAGTATTCGTTAATCACAGTTGTTTCTTATGTTATAGGGACCAATTGCATCTCACCAGTTTTGTCCTTTTCTCTTGGTAACTTTCTTCGGAATCGCGGTCAAATTGCATCTTCTCATATTGCCTGATGAACAAGTGCATGGGGCACCCCAGTGGCACATATCCTTTCAGAAGGTGGTTTGCACTCTCGCTTCATTGCGTGCTTGTCATTTTCGCACGGAATACACCCATAAATTATGGCTTTGCCCACTTCCCCCTCACCTCATACAGCTGGGTCAGGAATGCATTTTTTTGTAGCCCATATTTCTCCAACATGCAAGCCCACCCATTCTCGAACTCATCAATACTAACTGCGTGGTGGACTAGTTTGCTGCTCTGGCTTGAATTCACTCCCCTTTGCAAGCAGTGCTCCAAGGCTCTCCTTTGCTTTCTTCAGTACATGCCATTTGCACCAACGATGTACAGTCCACGGCATCACGTCAACTATTGCAATTTCCATCGAACGAGCTTGGTATGTATCAACAATATAGAAAATCAAGCAAGAGCATTAAACTTTTATACCTATAAGACGGATCGCAGCATATTGATGTAAATCAATGCGCAGTTCTTTTTCTGTTTTTACGCAGGCTGTGTTACCTGTTAAGATAGTTTTAGGCTGTGGCGCTGCTAGCATTTGGAAGAACTCTGTGAATATCCACTTGAAAGTCTCCACCTTCTCATCACTCATCAGTACACCTCCAAAAATGACACTCTGGAAATGATTGTTAACACCAACAAATAGGCCAAATGGCATGTCGTACAGGAATGTCTTATAGGTCGTATCAAATGTCACAACATCACCGAAACACTTGAACTGCTCAATGCCTCTACCAGTTGCCCACATCAGTGTCTTAATTCTGCCCTCGGTGTCCACCTGGACACTGTATTTAAATTCTGGGTCCTCTGCCCGCATGTCGTTGAACACATCTATGGTTTTTGTTGCATCATTTAGCGACTGTTCCTGGTTCAGTTTTTCACATAGTGTTTTTAAGGACCGTTTCGTGAATGGCACGTCCCTAATCGTGCCAAAAAAACTCCCTACAACACTATACACCTTGCTAATGCTGATATTATTCTCTCTCAACTGCTTAACCAGGTCCCTCGTATAGGTATCTATGTGTCGGTGCGACTTCCAGTGCAATTTCTCTCCACAAATGACAGATAAAGCATGGTTGTGCTCGGACTTGTGCTCACATACATACCATCCACCATCATCCGACCTCAGCAGTCTTATCATGGCATTGCAGCCACACCTCGTTGACCGACTGTTGGCCTGCAATGGCTTACCCTGCAGGAAACAAGCATGCAGACAAGAGACATGCCAATTTTTTTAGTAAATATATGTGACAGAAGCATCAAAATACAAGAGAATGTTGTTCTGCCTAGTTACTCACCGCACAGGCACACACTATCTCTTGCATGCACTTTTTCTGGTGTACATTCAAACGGCTTTTTGCATAGCGGACACCAAAACCGACCTCCCATGAATACAGATTGTAAAACTCGTAGCCCTCTTCGACAGAATCAAAGCTAGTCCCAATAGACGGATTGACAACATTTCTAGATTTTTTATCGACAAATGCACGGACAGAAGCTTCAAGGGCAGTCATCCTCGAAGAGCTAGGCTCCCTCACATCAGCCACTTTCCCAACTCTAACCCTGCAAAGAATGGCACACAACCCAATCAGATTCTAATTGGTTTGAAAGAAAAGCAAATACAGTGGCGACCATAATATCGCTGCCCATAGATGACACAGGAGATGGTTATGGTGTCTTGAACATAGCTATACATTTATCATCAAGCAATTCACAAAAAATCACTTGTACCGACCAAAAAAAGAAAACAAGAGATGGTTATGGGTTTTCTTTTTTCAGTCTGCAAAATCATTCATTATCTGTAATCTGGGCACGCTAGCCACGGCTTGAAATCGAACATAGCATATCCTGCATCTGGGGCATGAACGTCCTGGTGCTACTAGATTACTGTACTTTTTTCAGATATTTACAATACTCATATACTTCAGTAATTTTCAGGTTTTGGTCCAGCGACTAGTAAGACAAGCCATGAGATGAACAGCATCACAGCAAATCTATTAGCCAAACCGATAGGCATAAATTCTAGATCAGGGCAAAATCATTAAAACGCGAAGAGGCTAAAAGTTCAGGGAACGGTAAAATTACCTCTTGGTCCAACAAGACTGATTTGCGTTTGACACTGCGACGCCCTCTTCGACTGTATCGTTATCCTCGACGCCAGATGCAACTTCTGTATCGCCTATCTCGCAGGAGTCGCCCACACCTTCGCCGCCAAGATCAGACGAGCCGCGCCCCCTCCGAGTGAGCATTGTTTCACCCGTATCCTCGCGCCCTTCATAATCCTTCAGTCCTCCGACTAGCCCCATCGGCAGAGAAGAAGACAAGACCTCGTCAGCGTCAGCACTCCAACTGGTGCCGCCACCAGGCAGGTCCACGCCGGCAACTAAATCTCGTAGGACGTCACCGCCGTCCAAGCGCGGCACGAGCCTGCGAAGGCAGTTAAGAGGATAGCCAGATCTGACTCTTATAAGAACAAGACGGGGGGAAATTACAGTCCAAAATCGAAATCCAGTTCACAAAACCACACCCATCAGCGGAAACTTTGGCGCGAAATAGGAATTTTTAGAGAACTTTACCCAGCTCCAGAATCCTCGAAGAAGAACTCCATGCCGTCCATGGCGAGAAGCGGCGGTCACCTGGCCCGGTTCTAGTGCCCATGCACGACGGCTTAATGGTCGTCGCTGTGGTTGGACAGGCCCAACAGATACATTTATTTCCCGAACCACCCCCACCTGCTCCCAGGCCGCGTAGTGGGCCATTTTTCAAAGCCGCCCAGGTAGCACATCTCGTGCGTGCGAGGCGGGGCCGAAATCGCTGGCCCACGTACAAATTGTGAACATGACTATGCGGCACATCTGTATACGCACTAAATAGGTCTCGTATATAGTAAAAACAGCAGCCATCACGCATCGCAGCACCAAGACGACCGCTCCAGATAGCGGCCTCCATGCAGCTCGTCCACCAAAATGCCCCTCTCGCCCATAACACCATATTTTTCTCAACATGCAAGCATGTCACCTCAACATTCAACATGCATGAGTAAATGATCACCTCAACTTGCGACCATGCATAAGAAAAAGACACCTCAAGAATTTCCATTCTATTATGATATTTATATCATGCAAAATATTCAAACATATAATTATATGTATCATTAGTTTTAATTTTCATGTTATTACTCCAAATATTCATGTTTCATACAATCAGTTCTCATTGAAATAAAGAGCTCTCGATATCAATTGTATCCAAGGCGGCGACAGAACACACGAAGGAAATCAAGTCCATGCTGATACTGGTATCACGGAGGATATGGCTGGAACGAAACAACAGAATCTTTAACAACAAAATTTATGTGGCGGCAACCACACTACAGGAGATCCGAGGAGATTTGTAAATGTAGAGACTGGGGGGTGCGAACTGCATGTTGTCGCCCTTCGGGGACCCAGGCTGAGAGATTTTTCCGTCCTTTTTATACCCCCTTTTTTCAGCTTTCTCTGAGTTTTTTCTCTTTATGACCTCCATGGTCAATGTACATACTGCTCACTGCCTATCATAATAAAAAGTCCAGCTGTTATTGGTCTCCCTTAAAAAATATATATTTCAAAATATTCTTGCAACAAGGTGTATCATCTAGTTACATAAAGTCGTGAGCTTAAGGGCATTTCTAACCGATACCCTAAAAGTTAGTGGAGTAAAAGTTGAAGTAAAGTTAGTGGAGTAAAATTTTACTCCACTAACGGTGACCGCACCTAGCCGATCCCCTGTAGTTAGTGGAGCAAAATCAAATTTGTGGCCATTTTGTATACTAGTCACACAAACACAATCTCTACACAATACATATCTTAAAATTATTCAGATTAAAGCATGGATAGCAATAATCGTTATAACATAAAGTTTCATCACCGCGTTTTTCAAATTTAAACAATGCCAAGTTCACCCAAAATACATCACTTCAAACACAATGTTTGATTCAAAATCACCACAAACATAACATGTATATGTTGTGGATCGAGCCAATCTTTGGCATGCACCACCACCCTCTCGGTCACCACCACTCAAACGATGTCCTCGGCAAAGAAATCAACCTCGACATTCTCTCGTCCACCATCACCACCACCCCACCCTCTAGGCCACCATCACCACCCCCTCGGCCACCACCAACATTCCGAAGAGAGGCCAAGATTTCTCCACAAGTGAGATCCCAATACTTTCTTGCGGTTTCATCAATTTTGTTTGGATTCATGAACATGATAGCATGCTCTTCGGCCTTCTTTGCATCAAGAATCATCTCCTCCTCAAGTGCAAGCCTGCACTCCTCAGCCTTCAACTTTCTCTCTTCTTCCGCAAACTTGGTATTCCACTTAACATCCTCGAAGGGCTTGAGCTCATTCCACCTCGCCATCTTGTCTTCTTTGCATTTGGCCGCCAACACCTTATTGGTCTCAATCATTGCCACAAGTTCATCCTTGTAAGTGCCACCGAATGCATTCATCTTGTTTCTTTCTTTTGCAATCTTATTTCCTTTCGGTCTATTGTTGGCATCTTCATCAACCTCGTCGTCGTCCTCAACGGATATGATCAACCTTGACCTCTTCGGAGTGGTCTCCACAATTCTTTGGATCCACTTCTCATTCCTGCATAGCTCTTTGTAGCAATGATGCAAAGTGAAGGGCTTGTGGCCGAACTTGGTGTTCCAATGCTTGAATAGCTCTTGGATGCAGGGGCCATACTCCGCCACCTGCACCACTCGGTGGAGCATGGTTCACTTGGTCGATGCAACCGGACCATCGGTTCAATTGATCATGGATGGTGCTCCAACGATGCCCAAGCGAACCTTGTGTACAGCTTGATCACACGTCCAAAGAGATGCTATAGTAGTTGATGATCCTCTCCCAAAACATGGTCTTGGTTTGATCCGTTTCGATCGTTGCATCCATGGAGATGGCACACCAAGCGTCGCAAAGTGCAAGGTCCTCCTTTTGGTTGTATTTTGGGTGCGGCTCCTTGAGGCCTTGGTGCTTGCTTCAATCACCTCCACCACCTCCTCCTCGGCCACCACCTCTTGGACATCCTCCTTAGCCTCCTCCGTGTCTTGGGTGGCCGAATGATCCCAAAACGAGTCATAGTTGAGATCATCAAGGCCAACGGTGGCCAAGGACTCCAACGATGCAAGGAATTCGGTCGTATTCATCTCTGTTGTACAATGTCAAAGCAAGCACTATAAACAATTACTACCGATCATGAACAATCACCATCGAATACCAACGGGACACGATGTTTTATTTTTACCTTGTTAACATTTCATCGAGCACTTGGTGGCTGCGTTTTTTGTTGTCGGTTGCGGCTGCCACTCGCCCCGGGGCAGTCGCCGTAGGGGAAGCTGGAGTTGCCACATGAGGCATAGGCTTTGCAGGAGGCGCCGACGCGGTCTTCTTCGTCTTCTTCTTGGCGGCCGCCTCGACGAGCGCCGCCTCCGCTGCCGGCTTTCGAGCCTGTTTGCCTCTGGTAGGTGCGGCAGGAGGGTGGCGTGCCATTGTCGGAGACACGGTGACCACCCCGGACACCATTGGCGCGGTTGGATGCGGAGCTAGGACCCGACGGTTCTTTGTCATTCCCAAACTTTTTTTGGCACCAGTAGCATCGCGCGTGGGTGGTTTCCGGCGGTGAAAAGC